TCTAGCAATGGTCCTTTGCAAGGTTCAGCTCAGGCTTCACAAGGCCTTAACCCACAACTGCCATTCTCAGTGCTGCCAGTAACATCTGGCTCAGATCCGATCCTCTGAGGCAAGAGCATGGAAAGGATTGTTCCCATGTCTCAGCGACTCTCTGCAAGCCATAAACAGTACAGAAAAGCATGCTGTGCAACTCCAGGGCAGAGGAGACATAAAGGAATACTACAGAAAGATGGGAAGGACAAAATGGGAACCAAGGAAAGCCTGGTGGACACCCCTCTTAACTTCTGTGTACTTAAGAGGGCAGAAAAATTAGGAATGGTGATGAAAATGTTGTCAGGCCTGCTGAGAGAACCATGGAGAGAGCTCTGGAATCAGCAGAAGTGAAGAACATGAGAAAGATTAATACTAAAAAGCAAAAGATCGCATAAGGAAATGAGACAACATACTGATGGGATGCAGATGGGATTTACTGAGAGAAGGCTTAGGACAGAGAGGCAGCAAGATCATAAGCAGGAGATTGTGCAGAAGGGAATGGAACTTTTTCAAATGAGGAGACTTAAGTATAAAAGGAGGGGGCCAGGGACAAAAGATCTGGAGAGGAGAAACGACAAAGACTTCAACTAGTTCAGTGGAGATGGTTTTAAAAAAAAAAGCCACATTTGGAATTAAAGTATAGAGGAATTCATTCACATAAGTGGTCTCCCAGATTTCAGATAGAGTTCAAGATTTCTGAAGCTCAGCCTCTCTTTACATCAAATATATGTGAAACACACTGACAATGCACCCTTTAGACCCCTCTAGTCATTCTATAGATACCAGTGATCTTTTAATTATATTATTATACTGATAGGGACGAAGATGTAAGTATTGCAAAAGTGCATTTGCATTATTCTTTCATTTTGCAAAGGTAAAACAGAAATGTCGATGTCTTGCTACAATTACAAGCATTTATGCACATTATGAATGGGGGCTTCTGACTCCTATGAACTGCAAGGGCAAAACACAGATTTTTTAATAGCTTCAGAAAGAGCATTTTACCCATGGGAGAAAAAAAAAAATCACTCCAGTAAGTGACTCTAATTGAAGTTTAGGTCTATTCTAACTACATTACTACTTGAAAAAGTCAGGCTAGGTCCTGAAGAAGAAAAGGTCAGTGAGTTCTGCCCTGGCCAGTACACCTGTCAGCATGATACAAGCAGGAAGCAGAGGTATCCAATTTCTCATCACAAACTTGCCCAAAACAAGCTTCAAGCTGTACTCATTCAAAATTGTAATTATCCTTAACAGATCATCTGATAAAACACACCAAATGGTGGAAAAGTTCACTCTATCCTTGTTGCAATGCTTGCCTGTGCAGGAATCATAGCAGCGTGCCTCAAAACAATCCTAACCCAACTGTCCTTCCAGGTCACAGGCAAAATGGCTGTACTGGCTAGAAAAGCAGTTGTTCTTTAATGCTTATCCTGGAGCAAAGGTGCCAAATAGCACCTGTACCTCATCGTCATCCTGCCAAATACTTCTTGTCAGCAGTTGAAGAGAAAACTGGAAAACCTCAGCAGCTCTCCAGGATAATTTAAAAATCACATTAACCACATCCCATGAAGTCAAGTTCTACTTCTGTCTACCAACCTGGCACTGTTAAGATGACCCAGATACTCAAAAGGCAACAGAAGTTATGACTTTTTACTTTATTTATTTACTTACCAATGACCTAACAACATTAGGTCAATACAAGCATAAAAAGGACAAAATTCTATTTTGCTCCATTCCTCCATAGTATTTTACTTCAGGCATGACAACTCCATGCTCTAAGGACAACATAGGTTGGAAGGACACTGCCCAAAATACTATGCTAGGCTAACTCTTAATGAGCTGACTTTTGATATTATGACTAGTACCAGGATGCTACATGCAGTTTCACAATCATCCATGTTAGTAGGTCATTTGTGCTCAGCTAGCCCTGGAAACCAGTTCCTGGCACACTAAAGGCAAGAAGGTAATCAAGAACAGTCATCAGGTATTCACCAGGGGAAAGTTGACCAGTCTGATAACCTTTTAACTATGATATGACTGGCTTGGTGGATGAATGGAAAGCAGTGGATATTGTTGTCTACCTTGACTTCAGGAAGGCTTTTAACTCCCTTAAGACCCTCATGCCAAGCTGAAGGAGTAGGAGTTGGACAAGCAGACAGTAAGTTTGACTGAGAACTGGATGAACCAACAGGACCTGAGGGTGGTGATCACAGGCACAAAATCTAGTTGGAGATCAGTGACTAGTGGCATACCCTAGGGGCTAATGCTGGGTTCCACTCTGGTTTATGTATTCATTAATGATCTGGCTAATGGGAAAAAGAGTGGATGTATAAAAAGAAATTATCAAGAGAAATAAACAAAACTGACACCCCACCACCACCACTGAAAGTAATAAAAAAAAGCTCCCACCCCCTAAAAATCTAAAACCCACACAAATAGCACCACCACCAAAGGAAGGGGGAAATATATGCAAATTTGCTTTGCATTTTTATACCAGAAATGTAGAGAATGTAGATTCATGGATGTGAGCGTTGACACCCTCTCAGTTCCAGCCCTGAAACCTGTTTCAAAGTCCTGGGAACAACAGTGAGAACACATTCTTTTTAAGTATGTTTCTACTGCCTACAGAGAATGTAGCATCAACAAATCCCCTCTACTAGGGGACAAAAAGCATTAGGCTACATCTCTACTGACAGTTCTCAGATGGTGGTAGAGGGTGATTAAAATAGCACCTATTGATTTTTTCCTTTTTGTTCTTATGCTTTTCTCAATCTGACACCACTTCAGATTTTAGCTCTTTATATGTGGGTTGCCCCCCTCCTCTTTCTCCCTCCCTCTGCCAAAAAAAACCCAGCCCTCCTTACTACTTTTAGACTGTGTACATAAGCTTCTGGGGGTCCTGGTGGACAGCAAGCTGTCCATGAGCCAGCAGTGGGCCTTGTGGCCAAGAAGGCCAATGGCATCCTAGGGTGTCTTAGGAAAAGCATTGCCAGCTGGTCAAGGGATGTGATCCTGCCCCTCAGCCCTGGTGAGGCACATCTGGAGAGCTGTGTCCAGTCCTGGGTTCCTCAGCACCAGAGACATGGAGTGGGTCCAGTGGAGGGCAATGAATATAATTAGGGCACTGGGGCATCTCTCTTACAATGAAAGGTTGAGAGAGCTGTGCTTGCTCAGCCTTGATTAAAGGGGAATTTTGTCAATGAAGCACCTGAAGGGAGAGTGTGAAGAGGATGCTTCCAGGCTTTTCTCTGGGGTGCCAAGCACTAGGGTGAGAAGCAATGGGCAGAAACTGATGCACAGGAAGTTCTACATGAATATGAGGAAGAGTGACAGCACTGGAACAGACTGCCCAAAGAGGTTGTGGAGTCTCCCTCACTGGAGGTATTCAAGGACCATCTGGACACAATCCTGTGCCAAGTGCTCTAGAACAGCCCTGCCTGAGCTGGGAGGTTGGACCAGATAGTTTCACACAAAGCTTTCTAGATTCATTATCAGTTGCTGCAGGAAATAGGCTTGGGCATATCACAGGTTCACAATTCCTTCAGTTCTTCCATAACAAAAAACGCATTTGCCTTATTTACTCTACATCTACTGTAGTGATGCCTGAAGTATTTTCCAGAAAGCATTTATTAGTATTTCTCCTTGTAATTGGAAAATCTGTTACAAGATACTCATTTTAGTTTTCAGTTTCTCAAGTTGTACAGTTTACAGCATAGGAGGATGAGTGAGGGCTAAGGCTTCCAAAACCATGGGAAGTCATGCCTAATGGGTGGTTACTATGCAAAGAACCTGACTTGGTTCTGCAACATCTGACAATCTTAAACAGTCCAAAATGAAACTCAGGCAACAGTTGAATGTAGTGAAACAGCACCAGCTATGGAAACCAATGAAATCTTGTGGAAACAGCAACCTTTCTCAGAACTTTGCAGGGTGGGGTACTGGTGTTTTAATCACAACATGCATTTGAGTTATCAAAGCCTTCACATTTTTCCCCTGCTATTGTGGGACCACACAGGTTAGAGCTGCAAGTGGGGAAGACTGTCTCCAGCTGCCTGATATTTCCTATCTCAGATGACACATACACCTACCTGGAGCTCCTACCTGGAGCTCTAGGTTCTACAAACAGCACACTAAGCGCTTCCTTGTGTGTTAAACCTGTAGGCTACAAACAATAGCCAAGGAAATCAATTGTCACCTTAAAAAATGCAAAGCAGAATGATGCTGGTGGCACAGACACAAGTGCAGAGTGAAAAGAACAATCCACAGAAGGACTTATCCGTATTTTTCCCTGTACTAGAAAGAGAAAATGAAAGGTATTGTTAGGCTAGGGATTGGACATAAACTCTACTGCTGCTAATAAATGCTACAACCATTCAGAATAAGTATTAAAGAAAATGTTATTCCTTCATATTACAGCCAAACAACAATATTTTCCAGCAGATACATATGCCATATTCAATACTACAGGACAAGGACAGAGAGTGAACAGACTGCAGCTGTAAGGTGTATGAAAGGGACAGGGGAAAAGTCAGGAAAGAACTTGCAGGGCTAGGACTCTGGGAGGGCTGGGAAAAATCAGTAAGAACCTTCAGATAAAGCATATGAAGAGGCAGTTAAGTCTGTCTTTCTTCTTGCTATACATTCTAGGACACGGAGCAATCTAATTAATTTTTTGTAAATATAAAAATATTATCTTTTTTTACTACAAAGCATTTATCACTCTTTGTTCACTACTGCTGCCAGCTGTAGGATGTTTTTTCTGTTATTTCTTCATTAACACATAGTAACATCTTAGATTTATCTAATCAAATAAAATCTAGAAATACACTTAAACAGCCATGTTACACTAATTTATAAAGACCAGCACATGCCGGTTCCACTGTCAAGTCCATGTGTCCCACTGTGAAATCAAGCAGTGTAAAAAGGCATTATGGAGCAGTTAACACTGTCTTAACCAAGCCCCCTACCTTGACAATGCTTTTTAGATCCTGCACATACATCCTCTCTGTCTCCAGAATCTCTTGGACGACTCTGTCTACATAGAGGAGCTTCGGACTGGTGGGCTCTGTGACCAGGGACATCGCACAGTTTTTGCTTGCTCCTTTTGGTTCTGCTTTCCTTGGCATGCTTGGCCTTTTCTCAAGGCTTCCTTCAGGATCCTCTTGCTCCACAGCAGAGTTTTTGTGTGTCTTGTTGCTGGAAAATCGCCTGGCTGGGACTAGTTCTAGCTTGATGGCACCTGTCTCTTTATCCTGGTTAAACAAACCCAAGTGGCTGTTTGAAACCAAGGTCATTCTGCTTCCGAAGGAGCAGTGGCTGTCCCTGGAGGATGCGGAGGAGGAAGTGGAACTAAAGCTGACAGGACGGTCACTGTCTGACAGGTCCATGGTGTTTTTCTCACAGTAGCGGAAAGATCTGCTCTCCTTGTGCAAATCTTCCTCCTTCTTCTTGGAGTCAAGGGCCTCTGTCACAGCTGGTACAACCTCAAGAGGTAAGTGGAAGTCATCTAAAGAAATAAACAAACAAACAGAAGAAGTGGGTTTATTGTGCTGCTCCACGTAAGGCAAAAGTTGACGGCAGATACTTTTAAAGCTTTTTGCATAGAAAGCAGCCAAAACTATTTAAACCAAAAGACAACGAGAACAAAATGGTTTGGGCAGCACTGTAACTCTAATGCTTTCTAGGTTGTGGGGATCCCCCAATGAGAGCTACAACACCACATTCCTCCTGCTCACACTTCTGTCTCTGGCACATCCTTTTTCTGCCAGTGTGCTTGTTGCTAGCACATCCACTGCTAAGGCTCAGCACAGGAGAAAAAAAGAACTCAAAACATTTTCCTTAAGGTTATAAAAGACTCCCACAACTTTATTGGGAGCAGTCCCTGCTATCTCCCAGCTGGGCCCTGACCCTGGCTTGGGAGGTTTGGAAACCTCAAGAAACACAGAGTGATACCAGAAAGTGTCTTTCATTTTGAATCCCGTAAAGCCAACAGTCTTAAAAAAACTAAAAGCAGTTATCAATTACCAGCTCTGTGGCTTGTACAAAAATACTAAAAGCAGAACGATTTCCCAAAGAAAATGATATCGTTTCTGAAGAGAGAGTCCCCACCAGAAAGAATGCTGCCAAATAATTCAGTTTTCTACTGGGAAAAATAAGTAATTCTAAAACTGTTCTGCTCAAGACAGAATATTACCCCCTGATGAACTGACCCAAAGCTGTTTTTCAGATCAGTGCAACAACAAAATAATATGTCTGTCTTCCTGCTGGCATTTCAATTCTGCTTTATTTTCCTTGCCAAACTGCCCTGCAGGACACTGTCCACGATGCAATGCAGATTTGTCTCTGGCCAAGTTGTGTGTGATACAGCATAAGAATCTGCAAAAGTAGCCACAGGTAAATTCAACACTTCAAAGCTTTGTTTCCTCCCAAAAAAAATCTTGCCACAAACTCAGGGAATTTCATAATGCCTGTCCTGTGAAAAAAGAGAAACTTGTGACAATTTAGGAAGAAAAGCAATACTGAAGCTACCCACAGCACGGTAGCTTAGTCCTTATTTTAGTCCAGTGACAACTTTTCAAAAATTCATACCAGTAATTACAGCTCTTGACAACAGTTTCAGCAAAGAAACCATAAAGCTGCAAATCAAACCCACCCAGCTTTTAAGGTGGCCCTTCTTGAAGTGAGTCAGACTTGCTATGCAATTACAAGCAGAAACCTCCCGGACACACAGCTCCTGCAGCTGTCAGAGCAGGGGGAGGATTTCATCCAAAGCTGAACGCAACTCTCCCATTTTTTAAAATAAATCCAAAGCAAACAGAAATAAAATACCAGAGAAGAATGTTTTGATTTATTTGGCCTATCTTGAATGCACAAGATTTCATTTGTATGTGAGTAATTACTAGCACCATTTCAGTCATGATGGGATTAGCTTTCTATTAAGGAGAAGTATTGCCCTCAAGGTGATGTAAAGAATTAACACTGAGAGTAACTTGCTCATTACAAGGGTTAGAAATTGGCCATTAGATTAAAAACCTAATTCGGAAGGTCTGTACTTCTGGTTTTATCTTGTAGTCTGAAAATCTATAGTCTTTCTTTGTGCCAGGTTCTTCTAGTTTTGAAGCATAGAAGCATATTTGAAAAAAAACCGCATCAAGTACCAATTCCAAAATAAAATATAAAGCAATAAAATAGGGAAAAAATTAAAACAGAAAAATGCAGAAAAATTAAACCAGAAAAATTATATTCTCTTGTTTCTATGTGGGCACAGAAAATGATGTGTGCCTTGCTATTACTGGTGATAAGAAAGTATACATTTTTGATAAGAAATAATGTGTTTTTGTTATCAGCTTTAGATAATTTTTCATATTCAAGTTAGAAAACACAACACTGCTGAATGAAAAATGCCCCCTTGAAAAATGTGCAGGATAAACAAGATAACAGGGGTAGCACTTCTGCTAGCTTACTCCAGGGTATTTTACTAAAATTACATGACAAAGACCTGATTAACTACATTTAAGAGGGAAGTAAAGGCAAAAACCTTATGAAGTTCCATTACCCCACATTCTTTTCTTCCTGTTTCATTGACATATGGTCTGCCTCTCAGGTAATATTACAAAGGCATTAATAGCAGTATTTGCTTAACAAAAGATTTCATTAATATAAAGAATAGAAACAAAATACAGTTCACATCAATGGCACTGGAGTCAGAAAAAATGGTAAGGTAGTTTTTACATAGGACACACTTGTAGCCAGAAGCATTAGGAGAACCTAACATGTTTTAGAAAACCAAAGTACACCCACTTATTCTTTTGTTTAATGACAGTGTCATTACTTATTAAAAAAGCTGAGGATTATTTGGAATAGTTAAAATGGGCTTGCTCTTTAACACCTGTATTCCCAACGACCTTGGCAAACCCCAGGTAACTGCAAGGCATGGCTAATTAAGTGCATGCAACATGGTTGATTCAAGTTCCTCTATTTTTTTATAGAAACTGCTAATCCTGTATGCTTCTACATAAATTACACCAAACTAGGTGTTTACTACTTTGTCTGTTGTGCCCGCAGAGCCTCATCCTCACTTGTAATCTGAAAAGTTACTTTTTATTTCATTTTTACTCCTTTCCCAGGTGGATATAAATTGTCATTTGGCTTCTCTGTGGAGAGTTCTGTTACAATTTTGTCCATTGTGTCTCCAACCAGTAAAATGTGTTTCTCAGGGTGCACTCTGATGGCGCAGGAGCCCAGTGTTCCTGCAGAGCAGCAGGCAGGCACCGGGCAGCTGGCACACCTGGCACAAAGTCAGGGCACAGCGGACCGGGGATTTCAGCATGGCACGGAACCAGGAAGCAGCTCCCTTTCCTCAGCTGCCAAGTCCTATACCAAACACCCTGCTCATGGAAATCAGGGCTTGGGGGCACGCCCTGGTTCTGCCCAGCTCTCAGTTCCTGCCTCAGGTACAAGTAGCTGTGAAAAACCTACAGCCCTTCCCAGTAACACAGGATCTGTTAATCTTCCAAGGCTTCACAAGTTTTTCTTCAGAAACCCATCTGAGCATTGTACTTGGCACTGGTGAGGCCACACCTCGAATCCTGTGTCCAGTTTTGGGCCCCTCACGGAAAGAAAGACATCGAGGTGCTGGAGTGTGTCCAGAGAGGGGCAACAGAGCTGGGAAGGGTCTGGAGCACAAATCTTATGAGGAGCATCTGAAGGAGCTCAGATTATCAGGAGTATTCAGTTCAGACAAAAGGAGGTTCAGGGGAGACCTTACTGCTCTCTATACCCACCTACCTAAAAGGAGCTTGTAGCCAGGTGGGGGTTAGCCTTTTCTCCCAAATAACAAATGTTAAGACAAGAGGAAACAGCCTCAAGTTGCACCAGCGGAGGTTTAGATTGGATATTAGGAAATATTTCTTTACTAAATGGGCTGTCAAGCACTGGAACAGGGTACACAGGGAAATGGTGGAGTCACCATCCCTGGAGGTATTTAAGTGATGTGCAGATGTGGCACTTGGTGACATGGTTTAGTGGCGGAATTGGCATAACCACTGGGCTAACAGCTGGACTTGATCATCTTAGAACACTTAGGTAGGAAAATAACCTCTACAGTTACCCCTGCTGTTAAAATCAGGAAGAATTTTTAGATGATTTCTGCAGTCACAAGGGTATCAGGACAGAGAGCAGTTGAATGGAGTTCATTGCCACAGCCACATGCCTATCCTTTTTTCTCTTGTCAGGGTCTGTATTTGGCTTTTCAGAACTCCAAAGAGTAGTTTACTCTGCAGTTGTACCACTAAGTAACTTCACCCTCGTACCAGCTACCTAAGGTCTGTAGCAAATGCCTGGTGAGAAATTCACAAATGAATTAATGGGAGTGAAGAGAGAGTAAACAGCCTTCCCCAGGATTGCTCTCTATGAATCATAACTGACCCAGTGCCTTTGCAAACCCTGTAACCTCCTGCAAATTTTTCTCTTTCATAGAAACTTACTATTAAAAGCAAGTAATTTGTCCCATATCCTGTGGGACTGATTTACAAGCCCCCTCCACCCTCCCAGCTTCAGCAGCAGCAGCACCAGTGGGTAGGTGCATTCATCAAAACTCAGTCTGCAAACGCTGTGTGAAATCGTAGGTATCCCCAGAGCCTGCACAGGCACACACTCTGAGCAACTCTTCTATACCCTGACCCATGTCTGGCCTGGTTCACTGCTTTTTTTGTTAGGCTTTCTTTTGCTTACTGAACCTTTTCAAGGATGAACCAAAATAATATGGAGAACTTTTGTCAGTTGTGAATAACGGTATTTAACTCAGTCTGGGGAGAAAAAAAAGAAATCTTCAATTTGCATACTTTAATTAAGGAATAACAGTAATTGCTTGTTAGTTCAGCAATGAAAGGAGGATAATTACTACTTGTCCCTACTCACAAGGAAGCATGCTGCCCAAACAAGGTCATTTCTTGTTTGTGCCTTTGCATTAATTCAGTTACTCTCTCCCCCTTCCCAGCCCCTGCAAAGCTCCCTGCTCCTGTGTCACACACACACTGGCATGGCACGACCCCAGAGCGCTCCCCAGCAAGAACAATGACACGTCCCTGCTCCACAGACATGCAAGGGCAAGGAATACTACTGTTTCATCCCAACAGGCAACTCTAATATTAGTTACAAGGCTGAAGGCACATGCAAAACAACCATCTTGGCATGTCTTGGGTTTTCATTGCACAGTCATAAACAAGTTCTCACCAAAAATGCATAACCTTCTTCTATCACTTGCTTTTCTTTAACAAAAGCCTCCTTCCTGTAATTATATTCATGGTAATGATAAATGGTTTTCCATTATCTCTGCAGCTTTGGCTATGCTAGAACATTAGTATACAATGAGAGATAAAGTGCTTTGTCTTTAAATACAAAACTGACCTAAAGATCCCCAAGTCCTATCTAAATATAGGTGTTTATTCCTCCAAGTTGTTTACTGCACATGAAATTTTACGATACACTGCACAAGTAAAAACTCCA